ATGCAAAGACTTTTTAGTCATTTTTCTGTTAATCCATTTTTGTTTCAATTGTGTCTTTGTCATTTTAAGGATTAAAAAATTATTACAGCAAATTATTTCCCAATTTATAGTTAAGGGACTGAGTCACAGTCAAAATGACAAGCCCCAGGTCCACTAGTGAGTAACAGAGCAAGTGAAGGCCTGAACTCAATAAATGTCTGACTTCAGGGTCCAACATAGTCTTTGGGCATGATCGCTAAGTTGCCCAACTTCCCATTTATGGCTGAGGGGTTAGGTCAGTCAGGGTCCTGGGCCAGGCGACAGATGACGTTGTGATTACTTAATGAGTCATCCCTGATTGTGGACGGCACCAAGATTTGCAGTGTGATGGTCTCTAGGGTTCTGTTCTGCAGTGGCTCCTGGGCTCAAGAGGATCTGTAGTATTCTTCCCCACCCATGAAAACAGGAGTCTGTTTATCAGTTGAATCTGGGCTTGATCATGAGGCTGCTTTGTCCTGTGGGGCACTATCAAACCAGATGCATAGGGTGATAGGGCACTTATGCAGTGGGCTGTGCTTTCTTGCTCTTCTTGGCACCCTGGAGCCACCAAGCAGACAAGCCAGAACCAGACAGCTGAGGAGAAGAGGCGAGGCAGAAAAGAACCAAGGCAACCAAGTTGACAACCAGCAGCCCGCCAATTGCAAGTAGGGCTATCCTACATCATCCAGCCACCACACAGGTCAGAACACCCTGAATTTTGTGCCTGGAGCCAGTACTTTGACTCACCCTAGTCCTGGCCCTGTGACACAATTGTTCTCTTTTTGGTTCTGCAAAGACTTCTTGGGGAGTGTGTCTAAGAGGAGCAAGAAGCAGAGAAGTGAGGGTTTCCAACCAGGTGAAAAGAAGAACAAGGAGGAAGCTGGTAAATGACCAGCAACTCCACCATGTTTTGAGGCCGTCCTATGGTGGATGCCCATGTATATTGTTTATTCCCATTGGCATTGAATGATTAAGTCAATAGCTGGGTTCATTGAGACAAGCAGCCTAATGTTCCATGATGTAGACTTACTTGTAGAAGGATTCCAACTACATTAAGTTCTAATATCCAGAATATTCTCTGGGCCTGAAATAGCAGAGGGTAGAAGACTTTCCTTTTTCATGCATGGAGACTATGTTTTTCTGCTCCTTAAGTTTACTGAGCACCAGCCCCTTCAAGGTCACACAGAAGGAAGGCTCCCCTCCAAAACTGCATGAGCCTCAGAGGCAGCCAGAAGACAGCCTGGCCAGGCTGGTGAGCAGGTGTGGCCAGACCTTTAATCATGCTTCCCACCATGGATAGAAAAAGGTCAATGAAGCGAGTCAGGCCAGTTCAGGAGTCTGGATCAATCCATCATTCTTGGTGCCAACCGACCTTCTTGGAACTGTGTCCAGAGACAGAACCATTCCAAGTAGACTGCCAAGTTCTCTGCATGCTGCCTGCAGGGGGTGCCCCCTGTCCCCCAACACACAATGCAATGTTTAAAGACAAGAGGCTGTACTGGTCTGGTCATGCAGAGAGGGGTCTCTGACCATTGAGGGAGTCGACACACTCCTAGAAAAAACTGTCAGGGGGCAGACAGAGAATCTGTTCATTCCTCAGACTTACTTGGTAGGCATCTGTCCTTGCTGCCTACCCAGCAAGTATTCACTGTTATTCATTATCATTGTCACTGTCACCTTCACAGATTTAGCTCCTGTTAAGTCCCAGACACTGTCCTAAGTGGTTTTTGCAGATATTGTATATATTTGACACTCATAACAAAGCTATAAAGTAGGGCCTATTACTTTACCCATTTTTAAGCTGAAGAATCTAAAGTACAAAGAGAGTTTAGTACTTTGCCCAATGTCATGCACATCTGAGCCTTCGAACGCTGGCTCCATCCATAGCCAATGGCTGAAGTCAGTACATGTACTGCTTCTCTGCCTTTTCCCTGTGGGACTCTCGTATCATGGGGAATGCACACAGGCCCGCCTCACCTGGAGAAGGCCCCTCCTCACCTGGAGAAGGCCCCTCTTCACCTGGAGAAGGCATGGCACCAGACCCACCCACCAGCATAACCATCCTTCCCACTCCATCAGATCCTTGGTCCAATGAGACTTTAGCTCTTGTTCCCAGAGTTGCAGCACTGACAGGACAGACGACTAGTAGTGCCACAGCCATCATGCTCCCAGGAGGAAAAGCTTCCTGAAGCTGAAACTGAGAAAGGGAGGCTGAGCCAAGGAATGGAGAAAGAGATACCTGAGGACCTGATTTCAACACGTTGAGTCATTGTGCCTGAAGCCAGGTCTACCCTTGTGTTTCTCAACTTCAGACACCCAAAGTTTCCCTTTTTGCATAAGCCAATTTCAGCTGAGTTTCTGTCTCAGAAAACAGGCAAAGGCAACCATTATAGACAGAACGTGGGAGACACCATCCTCTTGGATGGTCCTTGAGTATCAAACCACAGTCTGCATGAACATTCAGAGTTGCATAATGGGGCCAGGCTGTCCCCCAAAACTTCCCTGGCTGTTTTCCTGAGATGAGAGAAGGAAATGCACAAAAAGGCCACCCTGGTGATCCGAAAGAACTTGACAAACAATCCCATCATGTCTGTGAACAGAGCTGTAAAGCATTTGGTTGTTCCATGTTGGTTAGAGTTTTCAAATCCAAGTGTCATATTTTTCAAATAAAGTTAACTATAGCATAAGTGTTACCCAGAAGACAGAGGACTTACAAAGCAAATTTGCCAGGAAAAACCTTTAAAGTTATTTAGAGCTGTTTCATTAAGGTTCAGGCATTGATTCTGGCCTCAAAAGGACTCTCAGTGACCTAACATTACCTTAGGTTCATTAACATGACTTTTATAATAACATCCCCATCCAAGGGAGAGCTCAGCCACCATTTTCTGAGCATGCAATCCAGGTGCAGACATGATCTGGTCATGAAGAAATTGTATGTGTTTGATATTCATACCACTGCCCCTGCACAGCCCAAGGTTCTGGGCATTCCACCCTGCCCCCATTTATCCAAACACCAGCAGTCCTATAAAAATCCCAGCTCCCTTGAGCCTTCCCTGGAGGTGCAGCAGTTGAGTGCTGGGCCGCAAAGCTGCCTGCAGCCTCTGCAGCGCTGGTTCAATCCCCAGCCCTCAGCGAGGGTCCCACATGATGGGGCAGACCTCTCCTGTCTCTCCCACTGCTCCCCTGAGCAGTGTATTTCGTCAGTCAGTCTGCCTGTTCTGTTCCCCACTCTGGCTCTGGTGAATTCTCTCACCCTCCCTTGCTTCTGACTGTACCCAGTGCTTGTATAAATAAATAAATAAATCTTTTTTTTTTTTAAAGTCCTAGCTCCCTTTAGAAAGGATACAACATTTTGTGAACAATCTCTATCTCCTTCCTTGATTCAAATCAATAAAACTCTCTTTACCATGAATCTCCAACTTGGTCTGGTGAACTGCCTGGTGCACACCAAGCAACAACCCCCTTGAGTTCAGTAACATAAGCTCTAGAGTGTTTGTGTTGCTGTGATGATGGACATGCCCCTGATTGGCAGCAAAATGGCAGATGACCACTTGTAAAAGGCCAGCAAGAGATGAACAAACTCAATGACAAGAGGCAGTCACCACCCATTTTGGGCAAGCTTAGGCTAGCTGTCAAGTCTAAATGGGTACGAACAGGACCCGTCATGGGGACAACAAACAGGACTGGCCTGTGGAGAAAATTCCAGGAGGATGAACCAAAGCAGTAACAAACAAAGAGAAGGGGGAGAAAGCTACACATGGGCCCCCCCAAATGCAGTTCATTACTGGGCACGGGAAGAGTGTGGGTGGTGGAAAACCCTATCAGGACAATTTCAGCTGCATATAAAGAGCATCCCAGACACTGAGACTGTACCAAGAAGAACTACATATCTCACTTGTGCTATCTGGGGATAAGATGACTCAGAGTTGACTCTGAAGTTTTCCAGAGTCATCAGTAACCCAGGTTCCTTCAACTCTTGCATCCTATCATGCTCAGGACATCAACCACATCTCCCTCATTGAGCCAAAAAGGCTGCCACAGCTCCCAGCAGTATATCCTGACCTAAAAATGCCCAACAGGACAAAGGAAAGAATGACTGATCAGAAAGGAAAGTCTTTCCTAGAAGCCCTCCTTAGATCTCCCCTGGGGTACCCCTGAGAGAACAGTCATGTGTTCATTTACCAGCTACAGGGGAGCCTGGCACAGCAAGCATTTCCAGCCTTTAGAGTATACAATGGCCCTGCTAGAAAGAAAAGAGTGAGGCCTTCAAACAGTTGTTAGGTAGGCCATCTACAATGTACCCCAAACCTTGGACAAACTGTACCAAGACTTGTTGTGTCCATATTGCACCCACACTGTTACCCACTTAATCTTGTCTTTAATTCAAGTTATCTTTTATTTAACTAAATACCTTTGCATTGCAGAAAATTTTCCCTACCATAAATGCTCATTACCATTGCTACATACATTTTTCCAATCCATATTAAGATAAATTCATAATGGTTAAAACAAAATCACTTGCCTGTTTTACTGGTCATAGTCCTTTGTCCCACCAGCAGCAGTTAAACTTCGGGATACACAATGGCATGATAAACCCATTTCCTCCTAATTCTGAGTATCAAGAATTCCCAAACAAGCTATCAAGTGCATGGTTAAGGTCCAAAGCCAACTGCCTTTACACAATCGTGGCAGCAATGTAGCCTGTGCCCACCATTCTTCATGCCCCAGCCATAAAGATCAAGACATTTAGCAAAATCATAGTAGGGGACCAGTTGGTTCCCTATTCAGTCACACTCACTCTCAAAACGTTTTGTTTTAGATCTTTTTCATGAAAGTGAAAAAAGGGAGCTGTCTGAGAGAATGTGGGGACTACCCAGCATCTTGAAAGGAGAGCATCCTGACATTTGTTTGTCTGTGTGTACACTCTCACATCTACCCACATCTCCGACCGTGGACAGAGGTGACCAGTGCTCGTTACTTACATCAGAGGCTGGGCCCTTGTCAGCGCCTGGGCAGGAGAAAGTGACAAATTCATGGCACCGCTTGTGTACAACAAAACAGCAGACTGCAAAAGAGAGAAGAAGGGTGGGAGGAAGAGGAGAGGAGCAACAAGGAGAGGGGGAGGAAAAGGAAGGGGAATGAGAGCATTAAATTCAGACTCCATGACAAGTAAAGGCTCTTATCAAAATACACAATGATTACAAGTTTGCCCCTTGTCCTTAGTGAAGCCCAACTCCTGGCTATTCTGGTGTTGCATCTTGCAAACCATATCAGCATCTAAAATGAACTAGGTCTGGGCCTCCCCGGTGGCGCAGCGGTTGAGCGCTGGGTTGCGAAGATGCCCGCAGCCTCTGCAGCGCCAGTTCGATCCCCAGCTGCTCCTCGGCCACCAGAGGAGGGTCCCACATGGCGCGCAGACCTCTCCTGCCGCCCGCTGCTCCCCTCAGCAGTGCACTTCGGTCCTTCTGCCTGCTCTGCTCCCCGCTCTGGCTCGGGTGAATTCTCTCACCCTCCAGCGCTTCTGACTGTACCCAGTGCTTGTATAAATAAACAAATAAATCTTTAAAAAAAGGATTTGGAAGAATATAAATAATAAATAAATAAATAAATAAAATGAACTAGGTTAGGGCTCAGACAACAAGATTAGGGCTCAGACAACAAGCCCTTGAAGATGGCTCAAGTGTCAGGTCTTTGGTTTGGAAAGAGCATTTTTTCTTAGATGAGGCGCCAGAGTGTAGTTGGCTTGTGTTTAGGTCCATAAGGCATAAGAAACATGTGTATTTCAACAGTAGAATCACACTTGTGGGATGTGTGTGATATGATGGGAATGCAGAAACTGACAGTGAGCAGGACGTGACACCCACACCTGCTTCCCACACAGGAGCAATGTCCATTCAGAGGAAGAACGGCTGCCATGATTCCACCAGCTCTTCAGTAGTTGGCACACACACACACATACCCATATTCAAATTTACATGAACTAAATGCCTCTATGATAAGGCTCCACTATTTGGGGGCGGTAGCACTTGGCCAGAGGGACAGTCAGAGGATACATACAAAATAAAGCTGACATTGAGGTGTTCCCATTTTCTTTTATGGTTTTGTTCAAATCTACTTTCACAAGCTCTAGGTTTTAGATTTGTGGCGGCTGAGTGTCATGTGGTAGGGACCCACTCAGAACCTTCCTACACTTTCAGCCAGGAAAACAGAACAGAAAATCTTGAGGTAGCCTGCAGTGACCTCATGGGCCTGGTTATCACCGGTCACTAACATCACCATCTACTGCTAAGTGTCCACCACCTGTTCTTGCCAAAATAATCAGAGTTAGTTCAAGCATCTTAAGCAACTATTAATTTACAGAAAACATAGGTGACAGAGGAATTTATTCAATGACATGGGAGGCCATCAAAAAAATAAGAACAAAAATACACCAAAATATGAAAACGACAAGATGACCAAATAATTCCTTCAACAAACTGCAAAAGGACAGGAGAGACTTTCAGGACAGTTAAACTATGGCCTATGATATTGTAGAATGTACAACACCATGAGTGACCTCGTCCAGACTGTATACAGAGACCACCATCTTAAACGTGATCTGTCACTGGCAGACAACTGTATACACCTCAAAAAACAACAGCAAAGTGAATAAAAGGGGCATAAGAGACAGTGGTGAAAGAACAAGAAGAGGAAAAGAGGAACCTAAGATAGTAGAAGTGGAGACAGGCTGCAAAATTTTAATCTGCAGAGTCTTGTCTTATTCTTTAAGAGATTATCGCTATCGCAAAATTATAGCGAGGCCATTCTAAATTCAAGTGTGTGTTAATGATTAAGAATAAAAAGAATAGAAATGTGTGTAATTTTCAAACCACTCTAAGAAAAAATTGGACAAAGAGAAATTAATCCAACAAACGCTTCCCTTCATGCCCCAAGGTCATATAAATGCTATTCTGCTTTTTTAAACTTTCATATAGCATCATTTGCACTTCAAACTCTTCAATTCATCTGTAATTTCTTGATATCTAATATGACATGGGAATCTAATTTGCCATTTTATCCCAAATAGGTAATCAATTGTCCCAGCATCGTTATTGAATAATTCATCCCTTCCCCACTGATTTCAAATGCCAACTTTATTATACGCTAAATAATTACAGACACTGGAGTCTGTCTTTGGGCCTTATGTTCCACTGATCTGTCTTGTAGTGCAGTAATACGGGGTTTTAATTATAGAAGCTTTATAATATGCTATATCTTGGCAGGGCAAGTCTTCCCTCATTATCCTTATTTTCAACATTTTCTTGGCAATCACTGTATGTTTATTCTTCCAAGTGAACTTCAGAATCAGTTTTCCCAGCTTTTAAAAAGACTAATAGAATTTTTATTGTAATTGTACTTAGCCAATCCCCGCAAAAAAAAAAAATTGTACTTGGACTTTGATTGAAATTATCTTAAATTTAGAAAGTAAATTCAGGATAATTGACACTTTTACAACAATGGGTCTTTCTATGAGGAAGGTGTCCCCTTGTTGAAACGCTATCTCACACTTTCTGGTACTCTTTTCTCCAGGAGTTCTTCACATTTCTCATGTAGTATTTTCTGAGGAGTCTTTTTTTACACTCTTGTGATTTGGACATTTTTTCCATTTTGTTTTCCAACACATTATTGTCCACAAATAGGAAAGCAATAAATTTTTGGTATATTTACTTTGTAAGCATTTTTAAACTCATCATAGTTTTTGTGAGTTTTCAGTTGCTCGCTTTGAATTTTCCATGGAGAGAATCACATTACCCCAAGTAATATTTTTCTTTTCTCCTTCCTGATTGACATGTCTCTTCCCCCTCTTAACATACCTTTAGAACAATGTGGAATAAAAGAGATAATGGTGGCTCCCAGGTGGCACAAGGGGTTAAGTGTCAGCACTATGAAGCTATCAGCAGCCACCACAACAAGAGTTCAATCCCTGGCCATGGAGCTGACCCACATGGTGTAGCAGACCTCTCCTGTCTCACCCCCTGCTCCCCTCAGTAGCGTATTTCAGTGGATCCACCTGTTCTGTTCCCCACTCTTGTCTCTGGTGAATCCTCTCACTGCCCCCCACCCCACACACACTCAACTGTGGCCAGTACACAAGTTCTTGTATGTATAAATAAATACATCTTTTTTTAAAAAATTTTTAAAAAGAGATAATATCAGACAACCCTGCACTATTTGGAGATTTTGCCAGCTTCATCACTCCCTCACTCTTCTCAAACTAACTTCGGGACTTTTATTTTCCTTGGAAATTGTCCATAGTGTTCTCCTTGGCCAGCCTTAACTGTGTCACTGGGGTGATAATTTGCCCTTTATCATTCTTTCTTTACATCATACTCTTAGATAGTTTCTTTTTTAATTTTTCCCAGAGTCTTGTCTTCTGTGTTGCTGTTGGTGTTTGTTTCATTTTAACAAAGTAAATCATGGATATTTTTATCCATCCTACTGGGGTTTTTTCCGACTTTACTAATTGCTACTTTTACTTTTATTTGTACTACTAATCTGTGTTTGTACTCCTGGGTTAGAAGCATATACTCTGGAGTCAGGTGGCTGGCTGTGAATCCTGCATTCATCATCTGCACACCATAATCCCTAGGTGTGTTATCTTATCTCCCTGGGCTTCAATTTCCTTTCTGAAAAATTGACAGTGATAATAATATTAGCCATATCAAGGTGGTGTGGTCAGAATTTAATGAGCCGATCCACGCTCAGAGCAAAGCTCAGCACATCCTGAGTGCTCAACAAATACCTGCCACTCTTGCTTATTATTTACTTAAAGCCTCTCAAATGCCCGGCTCAGTCCATTTACTCCCATGTTTCAGCATTAAAAATTTAAAGACTGTTAAGGCTAAAAACCTTCCTTTAAAGTACAGTTTTGGCTGCACCCTACATTTTATATTTAATGCCATCACTATTTTAAGTTTCAAAGTGATCTATTCTTAGGGCTTTAATTTCTTCCTTGACCCAGAACTATTTAGGAAAGTTGCACCACCCCTGTCCCTCAGTTACAAGTAATTGTTTCAGTCTAGATTTTTCTTCAAGATATCCAAACTATCTGTGATGATCTTCTTCATCCTTCCCCTTTGGGGGAGTAAAAAAACCTCATCTCTAGTTTCCCAGTGTACACCACAATTTCTGATGCATAATGGGTATTGTAAATAAATATTTGGCAAGAGAGTGAGCGAAAGAATGACTATCCTCAGCCATAGGAACAGAAGACAGTCCAGCCAGCTCCAGGGCAGAGGCGGTCAGGACTGGCCTTCCACATCCCACCTCTCCAGGTAGCGCCAGCAGGACAAAGATCACTACGCAGCCTTCCAATTAGCCACAGAAACAAATAATCCATCCCCCACCAAGATGGGACCAACACATCAGAGCCTCTGTGGCACAAGCCACAGAGAAGCTGGGGACAGACTTTGGAAAGTAGATGAGTTTCTGATGCAGGTACTTCCTTTATACCACATTTTTCTGAAAAGTTGTGCAAATCAAGTTTCCCATTAACTAAAACACTTTAAAGAAAAGTAGTAGGCTGGCTATTTAAAGAAACAAACTAAATCCCTTTGTGATACAAATAAACACCCCCTCATTTCTGTTTGCAAATTCTGGGTAAGACCAGCTTTTCTTAAATAAGCAACAACATTCACTGAGCTGCTGAAATATGTACCAGGCCCTACTTTCAAACAGGTACCTGGGAAAAACCAAGAATCCCTAGATGCTTCATGATTTATTTAATAACTCCTTGTTCTGCAGAGGTGGAAATCCACAGCCCACAGCCCTCCAAGTCCAGCCTGTAGTCATGCATTATAGGAATACAAGAGGTCTCAAACCCAAACAGCTAAGGGCAGGGTGGGGGTGGGGGGCAGCAAAGATATGTGCAGGTCAGCTGGGAGAATGCATGCATCACCTGTTTAAAAGAGGAAATTGCTACTCAACTCCAACAGAAAGTGAGATCAAGGTCCCCAGCTTGTCTATCTCCATCCCTTCTTTATTACATGTGAGGTCATGAAGGTCACAGGCTAGCTGTATAGGTGG